GTTTTAAAATATCCGCATATCCGCCAGAATCTCAATATCGTGCATCCCTACTTGTGGGTCCTTTTTTAAGTGAATGTCAGTGATTTAAAAGTAATTTTGAGTGATAAATGCAAATGCAATTAAATTTGTACTCTCCCGACAATAAAAACTACTTGCCGGGGGCGATCGGGCGATGGTTGCCATGGTCTAGTCAAAGTTTGAGCTGAGAGCTTTTCTAGCGCTCCTGCGTATTTCGTACCGTATTTTCACGACCATAAGGCGCACCGTACTAAAAGGCGCACTCTCAGTTATGTGTCCCATTTCTGTATTTAACACACACATAAGGCGCACCGGACTATAGGGCGCGTTTTTTATATACCGGTACATGTCCTCTACTACCTTTAAATACCTCTACTGCGTATTTAAAAATACAGCGGGGGCAAAACTGAGTATGATTGTGCTTTATTCATGTATTTATTACAAAGTATTAATCAAACCTGGCAGCTGGCCGTGAGACAGACACATCGCAGATGACACAGCGCTGTGATGACTCCTAAATTAACCTAAAATCCTGAAACCTGCCGACGGAATATGTTCGCTTTTATTACCGGTATCCTGGTGCCTGCAGTTTAAATTATTTAGATGAAAAACACCTGCCATCCACCGCGTGAACCCGGAGGCTGCCCAGCCTAGAGGCTGCTGATGAAAGGATTTCTCCTGTCGGCGCACCGCTGGTATGTGGGGGTCTGAGCGCCTCCGACAGAAATAGATAATCTGGATGAACTGACTGCAATTATTAAGTTTTCAGGTGGACTTTCTCACTTAAAAACATAATAAAGCTACTTAATTCCCACTGATCACAGCAAATATAGCTGCAAGATTTAGATTATTTAGATGAAAAACACCTGCCAGCCACCGCGGTGAAGAGGAGGAGACCCGCCCAGAGGCTGCTGTTGAATTAAGTTTTCAGGTAGAAAAATAGAGCGGGAGCAAAACTGAGTATGATTGTGCTTTATTCATGTATTTATTACAAAGTATTAATCAAACCCATCAAAGTCATCATCCTCTGTTTCTGAATTAAACAGCTGCGCTAAATCAGACATGCCAATTTCCCCTTCTTCGCTGTCAGAGTCACTTTCCGTGCAGCGCAGCTCCTCAGAAATAATGCCGGCTTTTGCGAAAGCTCGAACAACAGAGCCAGCAGACACGTTAGTCCGAGCATCAACAATCCATCCGCAAACGGTGGCGTAACTCGCCCGGCGCTGCCTTCCACTTATCCTGAAACTGTGGTCTCCGTCTTTCATCCATCGCTCCCACGCCGCTCGCAGCCTTACTTTGAACGGCCGCTTCACACCGATGTCGAGCGGTGGAAGTTCCTTTGTCAGACCTCCCGGGATAACGGCGAGCACAGCGTTCATTTGATTCACCTTTTTTTTCACATCGGCTGTGAGATGGGCACGCAGCGATGGTGATGCGTGGAAAAAAGCACCTGGTCTCCTCACATAGGCTACACCTGCCTCAGCCACGCTTTCATCATCTCCTCATCCATCCAGCCTTTTCCATTTGCGTTAATATCATATTGGCGCTGTGTCTGTCTCGCTGTCAGCTCCCAGATCAGCTTCTCTGATTGGTTGATGCGGCGCGTCCAGCAGCAAAACTTCAATTTTTCCATCTCGAGCAGCAGCAGCGCGTTGGCAGATGCTTAAACGCTCCCGACCGCAGCGCCTGCTGCTCAAAACGCGCTGCGGGACCTTTTGCTGCACCTATACGCGCGTCAACCATTGACTTTGCATGTAAACTCGCTGCTTCTGCTGCACCTGCTGGGTCCGGTTCACACCGATGTCCAGCGGTTGAACAGCGAGCACAGCGTTAAGTTGTTTCCCCATGTTTTTCACATCAGCTGTGAGATGGGCACGCATGGAGTTACATATTAACAGCGATGGTGATGAGTGGAAAAAAAAAACACCTGGTCTCCTTACATTCAGCCACTCTTTCATCATCTCCTCAATGAGGTGGTCTCAAAAGTCGCAGTTACAACACACATAAGGCGCACCGCACCATAGGGCGCACCGCACATTTTGAGGGAAAAAAAAGACGTTTAAGTGCGCCTTATAGTCGTGAAAATACGGTACATGAGATCAATGTAGAGAAGGTTTAATCAGATGTTTCTGTTTTCTGCCTGAGCCCCGACGTTCTTCAGGGACACAAGGAGGTTCAGCTCAGCCCAACTCTGCCGGGTTTCAGCCAAACACAGACTGTCCTCAATCCCAACACGTCCCAGTAACATCCGCTTCCTGCGGCGCCTCCACTATTCAGCATCCCTGGATTTTAGGAAGGACAGTTCCAGTGCTGATCTCCGTTTAGCCCTTCCTGTTGTCTTGCGTCCAGCCTGAGGGGATGTCTGACATTAATTACGTGTTAACATCCACGCTGCTGTTGTTTTTAAACATCATCTAATGACAAACGCCTCGTGGCGCCGAGCTCCGCTCCTTCGAAGGAGCTCGCCTGCAGCGCTGGATTCCGACACTTAGGATATTCAATCTGACACTCGGCGCGGGGCTGATTTACCCGGAGAGGCTTTCATTGACCCATTAATCTGTTCCTAGAACACCGGGCCGGGTGTGATACCCAGAAGCCACTGGGAGACCTGCCTAAAGAGGCCGTAGTCCTCAATGTGTCCGACACGGGTTCGAATCCGACTTGTGGTCCTTTGCCTCATGTCTCTCCGCCTCTCTCATTCCTGTTAACATACTGTCAAACAAACGAGTCACTAGTGCCGTAAAAATGCAAAAAAAAATAATAATTAGTCCAGTAAGTATAGTAAGTTAGCCAACATTTCTTTCTCAGTGAGGTAACAAAGTATTTGTACTTTGTTATTTGACGCCTCTGTTCAGGATGACATCAGCTGACCTCTATGATGGAAACTCAGAGATGCTGTCCATCCGGAGCGGAGCGTTCAGCTGCCTGTAAATGAGACTGATCTGTAAAACAAGCCCAGGCCATCACCCCTCCTCTACCGTACACCCTGCTGGTTCAGTCCAAACATATTTCAGGTCATTTTTACAGGAAAGGTGGTTTGTTTGGATACGCTGTGATCTGAGCCGATGATGGAGGAGAGGAGGACGGGCGAACCGTTTGACCTCCTTCTATGAAGCGTCTGATTAAATCCAGCCCGACATCCTCATCACTCAGCTGCCGCTTCTAAAACGGTCCTGCTCTCGTGACGCCGCATGGGGACGCCCTCCCACGCCTGGGCTTCTGCTGTCACATCGCATTAAAATGCTGCTTGCTGCTGAAGTGGCCTTCAGCCAAATCCAGAACCATTACGGCTCCACAGGTGGTCCTCTGTCTGCCGGCCCCCGCATCCCACCAAGGATTCTATCAGTGGCAGAAATGACATAAAAGATTAAAGCTGCTTTCCATTGTTTAAAGGGTGCAGATACGTTTTCCCCTGATTACTGCTATAATTGGAACATTGTTAGACCTTGAAATGACCTCTGGATGCGTCATTTTTCTGGTCAACACGTGCTAAACACACTTTATAAGATTAAACAAAATCTGAGACGTTTTATCTGTTATTTATAGAGAAACCTGAAAATCTAAGAACAAAATGTTGGGAAATCGCCGTAGAAACGGAGCTAACACGGCCTGAACTCGCTGGCACCTGGTCGCACGGTCCATATAACCCCCAATCATCAGCTGCTGGCGGGACGGAGCGAATAAAGACAACCCGGTTCTAATTTCTGCCGCCATCTTCGGTGACCATCGATTACTTCACAATATTGCCCCCATTAGACTGCAGGATGTATTCATAAATAAAGTGTTTGGAAGCTGATATAAGAACATCGACAGTGGTTTATGATCAAGTTCCGGAAGTGAAGAAGAGAATCATTTAGGGGTAGTTTTAAAATTTTAAACGTCTTGCAGATGTTTCCTGCGTGCTAGCATAACCTGGTCCTCCAGTATAAATAATAATGCCGATTTATTAAATACTTCAAAGCGACATTTTCCACACGGTCGGATTTAGGAAATTTGGGGCCCTAGGCAAAGACAGGCAGGGGGCCCTCTGAATGGAGAACACATAGAACAGTCCCATTCTCCAGATGTAGAAATGTTAATAGAATACACATCCATTATCTGTTCTAGGTTGTGTCCCTCTCTTCTCGTCCCTTTTCTTCTTGTTTTCCTCTCTATGTTTTGTACTCAGCTGACTTTTCATGCTGTCTCTAAAGGAATGAAAGATTTTTTCCAAGCACTAAGCTCACTTAGCTGATTGCTCCTTCCTGTGTTTCCAAAAAGGCCAAAGTAAATAACCCAGTCCTTCTTTTGACTGTAGACAAGCCATGATCTGCTTATCTGTTCTCCATTTTTCATTTGGATGAAATAATAGCTGCATGAATCATGACAGCAGACAAGATAGAGGAGAGCAGGAGGCGGGGTTACCAATCTACTCGCTCTGGAGAGCAGAGTTCGCTGCTTTTAGATGTTGTCTCCAAAGTCTCCGGTAGCAGAAAAAAGTCTCTAGATTTGGCGCTAGGAGTTTTTTAGAAATCAAAGTGCTAGAGGGGTCTGAAAAGTGGCTAAATATAGCGACTAAAGCGCTAAGTTGGCAACACTGCTCTTTGCATGGTTTGTTTTCAAATGGTTTGCTGCTGTCTGTTTGGACCTTTCTGAACATGTGCAGCAAATGGACTGATCCAATATGGTGGACACTGAAGGGGGGGGCTGAGACACACTTAATATTATCAGCGTTCTGATGGCATTTTTATCAAAAACATAATTAATGTGCAGAAATAAGGTATAGTTGTATTAACCAGACATGGAAACAGAGTTTTTTGGGGCCCTAAGCAGCTGCCCAGTATTTATTAAAGGTAAATTCCCTCCCTGCATGTGACAGTGATGCTAAAGCAGAACGTTGTTCAGTGCTTCATATCTGAACCTGATTTCTCAGTAAAGTTTAAATCTTGTTCCAAAAGCTCCTTGTTCTGTTTTCCTTCGTCTCTGAAGCTAAAACTGGAGCCGATCACTAATCCTCTTCCTCTCTGCTTCCAGCCTGTGTGGCACCGTTCCGGGCCTCAGCAGCGTCCTCCTTCCTCGGATGAACCCGTTTGTGCTTATTAACCTGGCCGGAGCGCTCTCCCTCTGCGTCACCTACATGCTCATAGAAATCAAGTGAGGACTGGATTCTGATGGGCGGGGTCTAAAATCCGATGATGATGATGATGATGATGGTGGTGTCAGCTGTTCTGACGGATGCTCTGTGTTTGTGTTCAGTAACTACAACGCTGTGGACACGGCGTCGGCCGTCGCCATCGCCCTCATGACCTTCGGCACCATGTACCCGATGAGCGTGTACAGCGGCAAAGTGCTGCTGCAGGTCAGAGCGCCGTCGCTGCTCGTGTTTGTGCCTCAGGAGTCTGCAGCCCGATCATTAATGTCCTCCTGTGTCTCCTCCACAGACCACGCCGTCCCACGTCATCGGACAGCTGGACAAGATCCTCAGAGAGGTGAGCTGATTCTCAGAGACCGATCCGCCATGTCTTAGATTTCTGGGTGTTTCCTAATCAGCTGTTAGCCACTTTATAGCAGGAAACCAAACGGTTAAAGTCGCTTTAAGGGGTTCTAACCTGAAGTTTACAGAAACTTTTAAGGATAGACTCAGGTTATCCTGAGCTATCTCTATAGTTCTGCTGCTATAGGCTTAGACTGCTGGAGGACATAGGGACCCCTTTTTCATCATTCTGCTTCATTCTATCTCTATTCTCCCACTCTGCAGAATCTGTTAGTTCAATCTCTAACGTTCTGCTCTCTCTGCTTTTTCTCATAGTAGCTTCATCTGGTCTGTTCCTGTTTGGCTGTGACTCCATCCTGGAGAGAAATATCAGCTGTGCTGCTGCCATCAACACCTTTGTTTCTAGATGTTGGAGCTTGGCCTGTTTTCCAGTGTAGTCCTGTTTCTCTGACTGTGGCTAACTGGATGTGCTCTCTTCATCCTCTGACATGGGAGCTGGCTCGGAGCTCGTCTGCCTGGCTGTGTGTTTCCTGGACGGGGCCGCCTGTGGAGCTGGTTGACAGTTGCCTTTTGTATCTATGCTTCTTTTTCTATGTCTGCTTGTGTCTCCTTGAACCCCAGTGGGCCTCAGCAGATGGCCGCTCACACTGAGCCTGGTTCTGCTGGAGGTTTCTTCCTGTTCAAAGGGAGTTTTTCCTCTCCACTGTCGCTACAAGCATGCTTAGTGTGAGGGATTGCTGAAGAGTCAATGAGTCGATGCAATCAGCTGGTTTTCCTTAGATAGAAAACTTTGAATCAATCTGACTGGATGATCTGCTGAACTGGAAAGAGTCTAAAGATTATATATGTTGTGAAATGTCACTATAGAAATACACTGAATAGAATAGAATGATTATCAGTTGGCGGCACGCTTTGAAAGCAAAAAGCTTCATCAAGTCAGGCAGGAGTTTTCAGCAACATCAGCAACGGTCCAGCAGAAGCAGCCTCCTCAGACTTCGGCCATCTGTGCAGATTCAGTCTGATGTTGGGGAGGGAAGCTGTGCAGCTCTATCTCAGACGCTTCATGCCTTCGTTAGCAGGTCAAAGGTCATGGCCATGAGGAAAGATTCTTTAGAAGTTCTCTAAAGTGACGGACTCAATCAGGAAAGGATTATTGTGTTCCAGTGGCCTAGTCAAAGTCTAAAGCCACCTGATTTAATGCTGTAGTGGCCCCGCCCCTTCAGACAGCTGTGCAGAAAAAAAAAATCATCAAATCTTTTCTGATTTAGAAAAACCTCCAGCAGGATGAAAAAGTCCTTTCACTGGTCATTAGTGACCAGAGATGGCAAAAGTACTCACTTTCCGTACTTGAGTAAAAGTACAGATACTTGTGTTAAAAAATACTCTGGTAAAAGTGGAAGTACTGATTAAACTTCTTTACTCAAGTAAAAGTAACAAAGTACAGGCTTGTAAATTTACTTAAAGTATAAAAGTAAAAGTAGAAACCACTTTTTTCATGCCGTTGCCTACATTTTAAATGGATGTCTGCCAATAGGACTAGATCTCCGTTGTGTTCATTTTCAATCATCTCGTCGTCCATGCTACTATGCTAACGCCACCGCCACCAAGCTGCAATGATTTGCCGCCAATGAATACCGCCGAATCTGTCGATTCATCTTGTAGTGGTGCGTCAAATGCAACGTAGATTCCCATCCGATTAGATTGAATTTGCTATTTGTGAGAAAACGGCTCGCCAGCTCCCGTCTCACGTCAGAGGAGGAGTAAGCAGATGACTTGCAAAAAGGTGGTAAGAACCAGCGGACAACAAAATTCCAGTTCAAAAGCGTGTAGCGGTTTACTGGTGCAACGGTGAAGACAAAAAAAAACAAAATACTTTCAAATAAAGAAAACAAAACCGGCCATTGCAGGCAATACAAAACACTGACAGCCTCACAGCAAGCTGACTTTAAATATAGTCTCTCTAAGCAGACCTTGAAGAGCAGTTTCTCCAACCAGTCTCTCCAAGCAGACCCCTAAGCCATTGGGAGTGTGCCCCTTAAATAGACCCACCAATAATCAGCCAATTGGGACAGCCCAACTAAACAGGAAGGGAAATCCCCAATAAAGCACAGTTAACATTGTAGAAAAAATGGAAAATGATATATGTTCATAACTACTCGCCACACTCCTCTATCATATGGAATAATAGATTTATTCTACATCGCAATAAGTCATTATTCTACAAAGATTGGATGGAGAAGAATATTTGGTCTATTATACACTTAATGGACACTAATGGTTACATATTAAATTACGAACAATTCTGTACAAAATATCAGTTCCTTCCTCCAAAAGATGAATTTACAAGATAACTTAACGCCTTGCCAGAACAATTTATTAATCAGATTCAAAATATAATAATATATCATCCAATTACCCCCAAACTACCCGATTTATCTATTAATGGAATATCAATCACTGATCAAAAATTCAATAACCACACAATTAGAAACTATCTAAATGAAACTTTGTTCCCTGGGAAAATAAATAAAAATAACATTCTTTGCAAATTTGAACAAAAATTGAAATACCAAGACCTTTTTTTTTTAACTTCCTATACAACCAAAAGCTAAAGAAACTGCCATCTACCCATCAAAAGAACTACTAAGAATCCGTTTTAATATTGATGACAATAAATGCTCATTCTGTGAAAGTGATGTAGAAACTGTAGACCATGTCTTCTATGAATGCAGTCAGACTAAAACATTTTGGAATTGTTTAGAAAGATGGATCAAATCAAAAATTGCACTCCCTAATTCTATTTCTATGGTAGTTTTTGGAATACTATTGAAAGACAAAACAATAGAACTCTGTTGTAACCTAATTTTTTGTTTAGCAAAATTCTTTATTTATAAACAGAGTCTTGAGATCCTCCCCTATCTTTAGTATTTTTTTATCTGAATTTAATTTATATTTGACATCTCTTGAATGTATCGAATCTTACAAATACCTGACTGAAATACTAATGGAACTGCCCACTGATGTACATTAATCCTAACATATGAATCCCCTTGTCTTTATGTTATTTTATTGTATTATTAGCATTACTCACGCATTTTTTATTTTCCTCATCAAAGTTACTTTGTATTTTCATTCTGAAATCTGCCTCTACTAAGCCTTCTATAGAATTAGAATTCTAATGTTCTTATTGCCTAACTTGTTTCTACCCACCTTGTTTAAATAAAGTTAATTAAAAAAAAAACATTGTAGAAAAATAAATACAGACAATAGCATCATTCATACAAAAACATACATATTAATGAAATAATTTAACCATGCTAACATTACCATTTCACCTACTTATTACCATGCAAACAATTATTACATTCATTGAAATCCCACTTAACACCCCTGCCCCCTAATAGTCTTTTTCAATGCCCTGGGACAATGGATAAGAGACTGGCTCCGATGCGGTACGTGTTTCCACACGGACCAGTATGCTGACGGACTAAGGGAAGAGAATGTGTAATTTGACTGGGAAGTTTTATTACCGACTACGGAATGTATATTAAAACTGTCGCAGTGGGTACCTTCAGAGTTTGCTACGCTGGTGAGTAAGTAAAGTGTTGAATGAAAGGTGACGTTGTAATTTCGGAACTAGTGTAAATTACCTGGTGAATTGTTTGGAACTGCCGCCGCCATGATGGCCGGTTTGTGGTGCATGCTGGGAAATGTAGTGAAGGATGTGACGCTGTGCGTGATAGACAGCGGCTACACTTTGGGAACAGAGGGGGAAAACGGCTCCGTTTTCACAGTGACGTGAAAAATAATAACGGTAACTCCATTGAAATGATTCAAAACTAAAGTAACGAGCCAATTTTTTAAAATGTAAGGAGTAGAAAGTACAGATATTTGTGTAAAAATGTAAGGAGTAGAAGTAAAAAGTCGCCATAAAAATAAGTAGTAAAGTAAAGTAAAAATATCAGAAAAATCTACTTGAGAAGTATTTGTACTTCGTTACTTCCCATCTCTGTTAGTGACACGCTGGTATGATGTCATGTCCTGATTTATGACGCATAGTCAAGAATATTTAGTTATTCAGCATTAGAGGTGAGGTCTTCTGTCCCCCAATTCAGCCAGGCCAACTATTCCCTCTAACGACCCCCTTTCAGAGACATAGACAGGTATGCGGCATTGCAGGCTAACAAAGAAGCCAAACGACCCCCATTCCAAAGGGGGGGACCCGTTCATCCGTTTCTATTTGCATGTTTTCTAAACTAAAACCAGGCTTTGTTGGGCTGCTGGATAAAACCTGGAACTAAACGCTATTTCTGACATTTTGAATTGAAAAAGCTTCCTGGATGGAAGAGAAACGCCTTCAAACTTGGAAACAAAGTCCAGAGGATTGATTTAACTTTTAGGAATGACTCTGACCTTGATGACTGAGAATACAGCGTTAGAAGAAGCAATAAAAAACAATAAACTTGATAAAAGACTGAACGGTTTATTAGATTAATATGCAGCTGATTAGCATTAAGCATAGAAACACCAACAGAGTTTTTAGGAGAATAGAAACAGCCCAGTTTAGAGCGCAGACTTTAAGGAGGCTCATCTTTTTCATGACTCTCTTCCTGTTCCGTCCTGCAGTTAGCAGACCTGCTAACAGATACGCTGTCCTGCTGTCAGGCTCATCTGGACGCGTTCGGTTTATGCCAAGCTGGGATGACTTTATTTAAGGTGGTAAAGTTTTGGATTCCTGCTGACTGTTGGGTTCTGTTTGTGTCCATCAGGTTTCCACTCTGGACGGGGTTCTGGAGGTCCGAAACGAGCACTTCTGGACCCTCGGTTTTGGATCTTTGGTGAGGTTCTGAATGCTGCTTTTCCTTCCCGGTAGTTTTCTGTGCTTGGTCGTTCTGGATCAGGGCAGGAATCTGCTGATCCAGGCGAGATGAGGGAGCGGGTCACTCATAGCGGGGGTTCCCTCTGCGGTGCGGAGACGCTAACCGAGTTCAGAGGTCGTGATCCAGACGCAACCAAAGGTCCGATTACTCTGGAGGAGCTTCTCTCTACATCAGGGGTTTAAACTTCCTGCTAATCAGCTGAGCTGAGACAGAGTTAGACTCTTAATTTGAAGAGTTCCAGTGAGCATTTCCTCTGGAATTAAAATTAGTTTGATTTCCTCAGGGTTTCCACTGGTAATTAAAATTAAAAGTCATTAAATTAATGTTTTTTTTAAATGAGCTGACGTAGTTTTTAGAAGTACAGCGTGAGCAGGTAGATGACATCAGAGCGTTGGTCATGATCAACATGGTGAGCTGGGAAGTCACACTGTACCATGAAACCCCTGGATCAGAGTGACTCTGTTTATCTTTTTTTATTTTATTTTTTTGGTCTGGTTTTCCTTTAATTAACGTTTCTGAAAATAAAATAAAAAAAGTTTTATTTTTCCCTTTATTTTGAAATCTAAAATTAGAAATAAAAGTGTAGAAATAATAAAATGAAATCTTGCCGTTTTCTGCTTCTTTGATCTCTAAAACTTATTCTTTAAATAAAAGGTTAAAAACAGGAAATAAATATTCATCTTAGCAGAAATTGTTAAAGATTGACGCATTTTAAGCTTTATAAGATAAGTTGTATAAAATAAAAATAGTTTTTTCTCCATTTCTTTTTTAAATGATTGTGTTTTCTTACAAAGTTTGGTTTTGTTTCGTTTTTTTAGTATTTAATTATTTTATAAAAACTTAACTCTGCTCTTTTTTGCTGGTTTATTTTATAATAAAACAGAAAGTTAGAAATTGTTGATTGACTGGTTGCTATGGTGATTAGTGGCCCAGATCGCGTCTCCTTTGTGCTCAGTGAGAGAAACATAGATGTTGTTTTCTAGACCTGCAGAAATATGATGGAGGTTAATGTTCTGTGATTGGACAGATGATTGTCTGTCCTAAACAGGAAGGAGGCAGAAAAAAAACCCACCTCTATATAAACGAGATGAAAGCTAAATAAATATTAAATCATAGATATCAGTGGTGGGCAGTCAGGACCTTCCTGCTAACCTAAACTTTTATTTTCTACTTTCCAACTGTATTAATTTATTCCAAACAATCCGTTCTAATAATTTTGCAGCGTTTCTCTTGGCAGAGCTGCTTCCATTACATTTATCTGGTTGCTATATTTTCTGTCCAATCAGATTTCAGGCTCAGTCTGTTGCCATGACGATCAAATCTGCCCAGCGCCTCCAGAATCAGCAGTAATGAATGATATTACCTTAACAATATTAATGAGGGACGTTTTTATCAGCCAATCAGATCTCAGGTTTGCCCAGAGGGCCAGCTAGAGGGCGGGCCTTATGTCGGCGTTTTCTGTCCTCTGATTGGTCGGTTAGAGCTAAGTGTTTACAGCCAAGTTAAGCTAGCCACAATCTTTGTTCAAAGTGTTTCTGATCTCAATTGGCTGAAACTAAATGGAGACACTAAGACCTCCTGCACAAACACACAAGGATGGATTTAGTTTATAAATAATCAGGTGAATGTGATACATTTTTTTTCATGCTTTATGCTCTATTTTATCTGGTAATTAGATGCATATTGATTGTAAATGTTGTTACTATTGGTGGTTCTGTTATTAAAGTGCAAACAAGTCCACATGTCTGGCACCATATGAACGCCACTGATAGTTTGAGCTTCAGTGAGCAGCCAGTGTTAAAAAAAGTAATAAAATGAGTTGAATCAGGTAATATTTCAGCTGTTTGAGCTTTAAATGATGCAGAAATCTTTCCTGATCTGTTTATTGTTGATGTTTTAATGTTTTAACAGCTTCATAAGGCAAACCGAAATAAGATAGAAAGTAAAGATAAAGGATCCAGAACAGAGCTGCTGTAGGTCAGAGTGGACGCCATCTTTGCTCCCTCCTGTCCTCTGAGGCGCAGTGCCTCCCTCTGCCTGCAGGTGGCGCAGCCTGCCATGTTTACCTTTGTTGATGCTGTTGTTATCGTTTTCCTGAGCTATCGATGCCCCAGTAGTGCTTGTTGATGTCATGTGTGGATGTTTCTGCTCGCTGTTGGCCCACCGCTAACGGAGCAGCTGTCCAAACCGATTTGACCCCCCTGACTGCACCCGAGCCCCCGGGGCCCCGCTGGCTCTGTGTGTGTTTGTGAGTGTGACCCTGTCCTTTCGCCGCCTCAGTGTTGCCATGAGGAGAGAGAAGTGGGAACAAAGACGAGCGTTTAGTGAGTTTAAGGTCACATCCTGACGTTTAAGGTCTCATTTTTTCCTGCTTCAGCCTTAATATTTGTGTTTTCTAACGCTAAAAGGCGTCTGTGTGAATATTGCGGTTTGTTTCTCTCCCCTCTGTGCTCCAGGCTGGCTCCGCCCACGTCCGCATCCGCAGAGACGCCAACGAGCAGCTGGTTCTGGCCCACGTCACTAACCGGCTCCTGCCGCTCGTCTCCACGCTGACCGTTCAGATCTTTAAGGACGACTGGACCCGGCCGCTGCTGAGCGGCGTGCTCTCCTCGCCGGCCGTCACGCCTCCCACCGAGGCCTACGCCTCCTCTTTCCCCTCTGCTCCAGGAGGAGGAGACTTCGACCCGCTGACCTCCACGCCCTCCAAACCCAGCAGCCCGCCTCCAGAGTTCTCCTTCGACACGCCGGGCCGGAACGTGCAGGCGCTGGTCCTCCCGGCGCCGGGGCCGTACGGAGGGATGGGGCTCGCCTACAGGGCGCCGCCGTACGCGGGCCTCCTCGGCCAGGACCTGACACGGCCCCGGGAGGGGCAGGGTCTGGGGCCCAGATTTGGACTCCCCTCATCTCAGAGCTACAGGACTGCCTTTTTAGGCTCAACAGCGCCGCTCCGGTTTGGAACCAGCAACCCCGTCCACCCTCAGTCCCAGTACAGACATTACCACCCCTGAGTGAGAACAAACGGCTGAATCTTTACGGTAGACGGGCGGTGACCATAAAAACCAGCCCATATTTATTCAGAGGAAACGGGGCCAAGAACATTTAGTTTGATATTAGCTTTATTTGGGAACATGCTAACGGGAAGGACTGGGAGCTCTGGTTGTACGACAGAGAAACCAAACAGGGTTTGACTGTAACGTTGGAAACATTGATGAAAAACGCTGCAATGAAAATAAAACCTTTTTTTTTTAATGAAGTGATGAAGACCTCCCATGGTGCCGCTGCCTGACCAAGGAGGAATAACGGTATAAAAAAAACTGAATAAAAAAGGAAAATGTTCCATTAAAGGAGCCTTTAATATCCAGTAAATGCCTCACGCTGCGTTCAAAGGCTGTCAGATTAAATCACCTCGCCTTATGTCTGATTTCTGGGTTCAACACTTTTTTTAGTAGATTTAATACATTTTCCATATTTATCATTTTAAGATCACATAAACAAAGTTATGATGTGGTTTATGTGTGCAGGAAGTAAACAAGGAAGTAATGGAGCCAAACAGGAAAGAAGCTCCCAACAGACGTCTGGAAAAAAGAAAGATCCAAAGTCACGATCTGGTTTGAGTCGCTGTCACAATATGAACGCTGATGGTTATTGAAGCAGGAGGTAAAGCTTCACGAGCTGAACTAAAGGATGAAGGAATAATGGAGAAATGATTTAAAGATGAACACCTGATGTGAAAAACTAAAATTAAACATAAAATCTATCTAACCTGTGTTTACATAGAAATAAATGGCAAAAAAAGAACAGTTTGGACTTTAGCAGAAATACACCCACAGAATTGATGGTTCCCCTCATTTAAAGTCGTAGGGAAGCGGCCGTTCCAACTGTTGAATTTCCAAATTCTCCCGAGTCAAGCCCGACTTTACACGAGTAAATAAAGTGAATGTGATTGGTCGTTTATCAAGGGGGCGGGACTATTGTGGCGGAAGGTTCACAAGCAAGTTTGGTTGTGGCCGGTTTGTGGGAAGCATCTTGCTAACCAGTTAGCATCTTAGTGCTAGCAGGTGTCCAATGGGAAATTCCATTGGGAACCTGCTAGCACTAAGTTGCTAACCAGTTAGCATCTTAGTGCTAGCAGGTTCCCAATGGGGAATTCTATTGGGACCAAGTAGCACTAAAATGGTGACTTAGAAACGACGCTGTCAAGGAACGCTATGGACAGCGGAAACATGCAAGAGGAGGAGAGTTTAGTGTCAGAGGTCGTGGATGAGTCTCCTCCGTCTCCTTTTGATGGAGCTCACAGATTATTAGGTCAAAAGTTCTCTTTTCTCTTGCTGTTGTTCAATAAAAGTATATTTTCAGATCATTTAAGGCAAGAATATTATACTTTTAAACATCCTTATATGGCCCATCTACTGATTTAATGCGTAATTTTAAAAAAAATGTTGAGAGGACCGCGGCAACCAGCAGCGCTCCAAGGCTATGGTCATACCTGGCGAGGACACGAGTCCGTAGTCGCGTTCTAGTGAATTTAGAAACGGTCAACAATTCGCTCTCCCACTATCCACCTGTAACGGACACCACTGCTCTGCGAAGATTCTTATTTCAACCGTTGCGTATATTAGCTGCGACATATGAATCAAGATGCTATGACTGAAAAAAATTTGATTGACAGATGAGCGTTGATATATGATTGGCCAAATTTAGGTGTTCAGGCTGACGTAGAACTAACTGGCCTGCAGAAGATAACGGAAAAAACACAAAATTTTAAGACGGGATGTTTTCCCCCTAAATTCTGGGACAATAAAGAGTAAATTTATATCCATGTTTAAGCCAGAATGATTTGACATATAAATATGATTTCCCTACGACTTTAAAGAAAAAATCCCTCAATGTTCACAGAAATTAGTGAAAACTGATAAAATTGATAATTCTATAAAAATGGTCCTGGACTAAAACTGATGGTTTGATTCCTGTTCCTGTCAGTCAGCCCTCTGCTCCTCAGGCTGCTTTTTCTGTTCAGCTCCTTCCAGAGACGCTAGGTAGGATGGAGGTCAGGGCTCCTAGGGGCCCCTTCAGAACGGTTTCTAGTTCTGTGTTTTGGCTCCTGATCCTGTGGAAGACCCCTGACCTGCTGCCACCAAGCTTTCTGACACCGCAGCACATTTCTCGCTACCATCCAGTCTGGTTCCATCAATGGTTCTGTCAGGTTGTGGTTTAGGACTCAAACAGTAAACAAAGGCAGGAATGCAAAAATCCAACTAATAATCAAAAGCAAACCAGAACTATGGAGACATCTGGGGAAACCAAACACGAGGAGCCAGGGAGAGACGAGGCAGGTGGACAACAGCAAAAACAACGAAGCAACAAAGAGTGAGCAGAGGGAGAGTATATGTAGCTACAGAGATAAAGGCAGGGCTAACGAGCTGACGAGGAGCAGGTGTGAGAGGAGACAACGAGGGAGCCAAGGGGAAAGGAACACACACAAGAGGGCCACAGAGAAACATGAGAAGTTACATAAATCTAGAAATAAAAACAAAAAAGGAATTAAACCAATAAAACTAGAAAGCATAGAGCAAAGTAAAGCACAATAGAACCAAAACCATGACAGGTTGAAAGCAGGTTGTCTGCATGTGCGTCGCAGTGAATGCAAATATGCCCCGCCCCCTTCCGCAGACACTCAGCTGCTCCTCTCCAAAATTTTAGGTGACCACAGATAGGAGGCCTCTGATTGGTCAATTCTACATCCGCTCTACTCTATTTTTTGTTTGTTATTTTTTGTTTTGTTTATATGAAAACGACTGGTGAAGATGGAGCAGCTAGCAGAGCGAGGTGCGTGAGAACGCTGGGAGCCTTTTTCCACCTGGCATCTCCGCTCTTTTTGGCCCTCGTGTCCCTCCGTTGTCGCACAAACTTGCCCCCACTTCCTCGCCGCCTCGACCGTATCTAGACCCACAGCTAGTTCTTGATTGGCCCTCTGGCGTTGTGCCGTGGAATAACATAGCGCAGACCACGCTACCAAGCTCACTGCGACGATAACGAGCCGTTAACAAAGAAGCCAAACGACCCCCATTCCAAAGGGGGGGACCCGTTCATCCGTTTCTATTTGCATGTTTTCTAAACTAAAACCAGGCTTTGTTGGGCTGCTGGATAAAACCTGGAACTAAACGCTATTTCTGACATTCTGAATTGAAAAATCTTCCTGGATGGAAGAGAAACGTCTTCAAACTTGGAAACAAAGTCCAGTGGATTGATTTTACCCTTTTTTTTTTAGAATACAGGAAGAAACTAACCAACCACAATCATCGTCATATTTCCCTAAGGTGACAATCTAAAAGATTAACATTACAGCTAAATGTCTCATCTTTTTTTTACTGAATTTGATCAGTGTTTTTTTTTTACAGTGAATTAATATCTATGGGATCTGGACTCTCAGCCATATTATAGTCATTCGGTGTCAACATTTCTGATGATATTGTAACGCCGGTGAGTGTTACAAATAGTGTTGCGCCGATGCCATTTTTTGGCCCCGATACCCAATACCTGGCTGTGCAGTATCGGCCGATACCGATACCATAATAATGTCAAATAATCACCATCATGGCTTCATCAAGCTGCTGCCGACCTTTGTGAAGCAGGAAAAAGACTAAAACAAAGTGAATCCAGTAGAACTTTTTATTGCCTACCTAGAATGGGTGACAATAGTTGAAGAAACTTGTGGCTCTCAAAATGGTATCGGTGCCCTATTGGTTGGTACTCGCCGATACCGATACCACCATTTTAGGGCAGTATCGGGGCCCCGTCCGATTAGCCTGACGTAGTCCGACTCAATTCTAGTCAGAATGAGTCTGATGCTGCTCCATAGAGCTGTGATTATGGGGCGTGTTTTGAACGAACCAGAAAAAAAAAATGCCTCTGCACTCAATTGGATAGACCTACAACCAACAAGAGCAACGGAGTGCGTGACGTATGTTAAGCGACGCATAGTTGTTGTCAACAAAAATCAAAGCGTGCAGTTGCACGCCTAGAATAAGAAGATGAGCCTTGATCGCGTTTCTCTGTTCCTCTTTTAAAATTAATTTGCTGTCTATATCTTCTAGAACAGACCTAATAGCAGAATCTACTCACCTCAACTCTCCAGCGGCAGCCATTGTTGTTGTCACCCAAGCACGCTTTGGTGACATGGTTGATTACGTTACTGTTGATCATCTGTCCATCATTGTATAAAGCCCGCCCTGACAATTTGCTACTATTGAGCAATGCCAGACTGAACTTCCCGACCTCAAACGTTGTGGGCGTGACTAAGTTTGGAATGGCACCCAGGCTACCGTCCAATACTGGTATCGGTGCAACACTAGTTACAAACAATCAGGCTTAGTTGACTGTTTATCATTGGTGTTTATTTTTCTATAGTAACTCCGCTAGGGATGCAGCACAACACATCAGTAAACGCAACAGCCTTATCACTCAGGGTGGAACTCACACCCCCCCCCAAAACAACATGAACTGAAGCAAATACCAACAATAAACAACATGAGCAACAACCAAACAGAATAACAAGGAAATAAACAAGCAAACAAACCAAAACAGTGCCCCATAATGCACCTCTTCGTCCCGCCGCTACATTATGTTGAGATAATTTCATATGAAATTAGCAGCGCTCTGCACTCTGAAGCGTCCCTCCCCTGGTGCCTGTTCTCTGTCTCACTGACTGGATCAGTATAAAACTCATAATCCAGGAGTTTTATAACGACAATAAGCTTGAAACTGCCTTTTTGATGATTATGCTGTGAGCCGTTCACCATATTTGGATTTTTACTGAGCTTTAAGCCTATTTTATGCGTTTTCTCAACACAACATTAGTGAGTTGAAACCTGTCGTTCATACGTGATGGAATCCATTCTTTGGGATAAAGTATTGAACCATCTAAAGGATGGAGGACTGGTTGTCAGTTGAGGACCTGGAGAAATGGATTTCTGTGGCTAAAAGCAGAGCTGGCATTAATCAGAACCAAGGGACAGATGTCTGCTGGGCTCCCTGTTAACCAGACGCCTGATTGGGTCAATGAAAGTGAGAAGAACAGCTTCAGATTTCCAGGTTCATTAGTCCGGTGACCCTGCTGCTAAGCAGCCCCGCTCGCGTGATAATACCCAACAAACCCTCGCTGTCTGGCAGGAAGCGGCCATTGTTTTGTGCCTCAAGAGTCACATGACTGATTCAGCAGCCAGTTGTCTGGAATTGAACCTCCTTTCTTCCAGA